ACAATCCTAAACGGAACTCATTACGTAGAGCTATATCATTCCATTGGGTTTCTGAAGCCCATCTTTTGAACTCAGCTATATAATCCTCCACGGGACGATTTCTTTGTTGTAATGATCTAATAGTAAGATCAGCAGTAGCTTGTTTATTAGGGTCCTCATAAAGTAATGACATTGCCTCAATAAAATTATCTAAATAATCCAATATAGGATCTTAATTTTCCAGAATTGAATGTGCCCAGGACATAGGTTCACCCCTTAAATAGGAAATTATTGAAAATACCTTAATCCTGTCTGTGGGGTAAGCCCTAGGTTTGAGAGTAAACAATAATTTGCATGAATTAAAAAAATCTCTATATTTAGAGCGATCTCCATAAAATTTTTCAGGGTTGCAGACAGCAGGGTCACTTGAAGAATGAGTAACCTTATTGCATTTCTCTAACGTAAGAAAGAAGTCTCTCATTAGCAATTTGCAAATCCTGCATGCCTTGTGTGAGAATTTCAACTCTATGGGTTAAAGAGGTAATTTGGGAATTCACTTCTGCTGGATCCATTTTTAGGCTTGGTGATTCTATTATGCTACTAGGGTTTTTAGAATTGGAACTCAACTACAGCTTGTAGAACTCCTTAATTACAATAGTGAAGAAACGGAGAATCTTTAAATTATCAATACTGTAGCTTTAAGAAAAGAGAGGATTGCTGGCAATTAGAGAATCAAACAAAGTTTTAATGATTGTGATAAACTTAAGTGAAAAGCATATAGGTAATAATTCAATAAGAAGAAATTGCTGGTTATAGCAAACAATACAAAGTTCATCAATAAGTATTTCCTCAGAGATGTATTGAATAATATATTTTAGGTTGATAGGAATAATCTTCAATAGAAATAGTTTGCAGGTAGCAGAGAATATTTGCAAAGCAAGAAACAGTTCATAGTGGTTAAGCTTGATGGGAGTTATCCTCAATATAATTAGTGTGTATGCAGCAGAGAGGATTTGAGCAAGCAAGAAACAGTTCATTAATAACTGATATTCCAGATAATAAATTGAAAGTTATACTTAAGATTAATATGAGTTGTCCTCCAAGAGATCAGTATTAGAGTCCACTTGTTACATGGTAAAGTGTCCGTTCTCCAGTAATCCTCTAGCGGATGTAGCATAATCCTTTTATCTTCAAAGGTTTAGGAAGGCTTGTGCTAGAAGCTTGTGGAGCCGGCGTGTATACCCGGAAGTAGGTCCCACAATCACCAAGCATTTCTCTCTGGTGCGGTCTCTCTAAGTAGTGTCAGAGAGCCGCGTCAGAAGGGGGCAGGGCCGGCTCCGCATAGCGGGAATGCCGAACCCGAAAGAGGTACCGCATGACAACGTCTCAGAGTCTGCGGTATGAGGTGAATAGGATTTATAATATTGGTAGGTTTTTTAGCTGGTAGAGGGTTATCATTATCTCTAGGGTTAGGCTCGGGCTGAGCAACAGGCACGGGAACCTCTGGAATGGTTGGAATATTATTTGACTCCAGATTATCCAATCTATTATTAATAGTAGCTACTGAAGAAACAAGGGAGGCCATCATGACCTGCAATTCAGCCAGGCTATTTTGTACATTAACCTCTGAACTAGGGCCAGGCCTTTCGTTATCAGTAGTGTTCAACAAACGAAATAGTTCAGATTTCCTGGCTGTAGCCGGGAAAGGGATATTCATCTTTTTGAGTTCTGAGGTGATTTTAGGATAGTCCAGGATCGATAGCTGGAAGCTGGACTTGGAGGAATGGGTTGCCTTCTCTGCGTGCTTGATCTGAGAGGGATGCTGGTAACCGACTGATCATCTCCTTGTATAGAAGCGTTAGACATGCTAAGGGCGTGAGGCAGATGGATTAGATTAGTATAGTACCGTATAGTACAGTAGCGACCATGCTTACTAGATTAGTGCCTTCAGGCGAAATTGTATTAACTAGCTTATGTTGGTGACAGGTTGTCACGATTCGGGAACCTAACACGCTAACAGGTCACAGGAAGGAAGGGTGCTATACCGGTCCTTAGAATTGTCGGGTTAAGCACACTAAGAATAGTCAGGAGACAAGTCAAGTAAAGGGAGCCAGAAAACACGAGAACGAGAAACAAGCCGAGGTCAAAGGAATGGAGAATACAGGAAAGTCGTAATAACGAGCCAAATAAACGGTAACCAGAGAACAACACGAGCAAACTGCAATACAGGTAACACAAGACCACAACAGGACACTGAGAGACAGGAAAGGTAAGTATATAACAGCTGTGCTTAATTCTGATTGGATAACTTCCAATCAGAATTAATAATCACACGTGGGAGATATCTATACTTCCCACTGTGATTAGGGTACTGTGGCTTTAACGGCGGTTCACGTGAGTGACCCTGGCGTTTACACAAATGCGGGGACTCCCAGCGTGCAGCGTTACACATGCTGCCGCTGGGAGGTGAGGAGGAGGAGGACGCGAGCGGCGCGCAGCGCAGAGAGGACGCCGCTCGCCGACAGGTAGGGGAAGGGGAGACCGCGGGCGGCGATGGACTGAGGGTGAGTGCTGCAAGAGGCGTGCAGCCTCCCCTCACAGCCAGCGGCGGAGCCCTGACACAGGTGAGGCCCTAACTACTTGCCAAGTGGCTATAAGAGGCACTACCTATGGTTTGGCTCGTGGGGCCTTTGTGCCACTAAGGTGGGTGGCAGGGTGTTGGCCTCTCAGTGACACTTAACAGAATGTACAATCGTTTGGCCGTGATGGGTGAGGCCCTAACTATGATTTGATGCAAGGCTATAACTAAGTGTTGGGACGATTGGGCCTGAGCCGCTGAACGGAAGGGCTGATTGTATGCCTTGCGGGACCACTAGACTTATAGGCGAAGAGGCCTATGGGATCATACCTAAATTGGTGGGAGTTTACAGCTAGTCCTAACTCCTCCAGGGATAAATTAGTTAACGCACCTGCTGACAGTGTCGTACAAGGTATACTGTAGAGGAAGGAATGATCCTTACTTGAACCTAAAACATGTCATAAATTTAAGTTACTACCTAACCTTCAAGTGAAACCTTTGAAATAGCCCGCCAGCATAGGAGTGTATACTAACCTTATATATTGACTAAAGATAGGAGGATAACGCTTGTCTTGACAGGAACCAATGGAACTAAAGGGAAAGAAACGTGACCTGTTTATGTCTAGTACTTGCTTACCAGAAATAAAAATACGAAACGATTGGGTAAATTGGAGGCCTACCTCTTTAAGTGCTGCAATTGCGTATAACCAAGAAGGGCCATTTGCAAGTAGTGTCATTAATAGTACTGTCTTTAACAGGAAAATAACAGATATTAATAGACATCTAATTACTGTTTAGCATATTTAAGAGCATACAAAGCGCTAGAAAGAATCTATCATAACTTTTAACCTGATAAAAAAAAAAAAAATTGCGCAGTTATGCCTTTAAAGAGATCATTTAAGTAAATTTAATGACCCAAACTTCCGTTGAGTAAGGTAGTATGTTTATATTAGATCACATAAAAGAAAGAGGATATTTTAATAGACACATAATACACATTGACATTTAAATATCTATTTAATTGAAAACTTTCCCAGTGCTGTTTTAAATGGAGCTGTAGTCTTTGCTGCAATGCATAAGAGAAATGCTTGCAACAAATTAACAGTTTACACGAAATGTAACCGAAAGTTTGTACGCACAGTCAACTCATGCAGATAAATGGAAGATTTCCTTGCCCGGCTGTATGTGTATGTGAACGGTTAACTACCCAAATTGTATGCGAACAGACATATTGCAAGGTGAATGAGGCTGTATAACCGAACATGTTACACAAAGCGCCAGTTTGCACGAAGCGTAGTGGAATGTGATATGATAGCCGAACAAGACATTAGTACCAGTGCATGGTGCCCACGAATGATAGAGCCAAACTTACGATTTTAGCCGTTCGTGCTATGTAAGTAGTACACATGAACTCAGAAGCAGAGTGTTTGAAACCAGGCTACCGGCAGGCGGGCGGGCGGGAAAATGACATCACAGACCTGTGAACTGGAAGTACACTGATGCACTTCCAAGAACGTTGAAGACAAATAAGCAGGGGCTCACTGGGTTTATATAGGGAATCAAGTGCCTCCCACAATTACAGGCCAAGCCTTATATATATATATATATATATATATATGTTGCCTGCAGTTTAATATTTCTGAGGGGCATATTGCCCAAGATCTCCAAAAAGTGGCATTTATATTTAGTGGTGTGAGTTTGTGTATGTATATATGTATACAATATTAAACAAAAATCTTTATACCAGTCAAGCCATAAGACTTGCTTTTCCCACAGAAATCACAAATCTGCAGTGATGTTACTACCACAAAGGATTCTGGGTGGGCATATGCAAATTAGTTTAACAAAGAATCACATGTTTGCCTCATTCCATTTTAAATATGGATTCCTTTGAGTCTGTGTTTGCTGTATACAACAACTTTGAAACACAACTTAGGAAGAGGAGCAAAGCCAGTGAACCACTCATGAACAGCTATTTCATTGTTAATGCAAATCTTCAGGATCTGATGAAAGTTCTGATACAGAAGTGAAACGTTGATCCACTATGGCAGTTGCTGAATAAAAGCAGTTTTTTCACCATATTACAAAGTCCTTAGAGTGCTATCTTTTCATAGACAGATATATATATATATATATATATATATATATATTACACAAGATCCAGCGCACTCACTTATCCACTAAACAGCAACTTCAATGTTGACAGATTTTATTAGTTTTTTTTTTTAAAAAACACCTAATCTAGGCAAAAATAATGGTATATAAGAGAGATATTCCTTAATAGGGTGTCGGCAGTGTCGGCGTTGTTCTAGCCACCGCAAGGAGTGATTCTTTCTATTTGAAGTGGTGAAAAAGGACTATTGTGTCACGCGGTGTATGCGTTGTGAAGCGGGGGGGGGTCTCCGTAGACGGTGCGCTCTGTCCAGCTCCTAGGCAGTGTCACTTAGATTAGGGACCAATGTTGCACACATGGTATGATGTAGGATGCGATTTTTTCTTTTGGTATGGATTCTGTTATGCCCCTGAATGTCAAATTATTTCGCCGTGACGTGTCCTCCATGTGGGCTAGTTTGTGCCACAGTTTGGCGTTGTCTTCCTCCAAGGTATGGAGTCTGTCCATCACTGTGTTGTGGGCCATGCATAGTTCCTCTGTTTTCTTTTCTAGGTGGTCTGTACGGTCCCCCAGTTCTGAGATTTCTTGGTGAATATTAGACGTGATAGTAGTGAAATCTTCTCTGATGGTGGTCCTCAGGTCCTGGAGCATTTGTTTCAAATACTCTTTTAGTAATATGCCTGTCCTCCTTACTGCTTTGTGAAAGGTCTGGCTCCATCGGACCCTCCACGTCCTGGGAGTGGGCTCTGGCGTCGGCGCCATCTTGGGCCTGTTTTTGACGTTTTTTTGAGCTGTAACGGGTGCGTGAACTTTGTTTGCTTTGGGGGAGACATTTCTTCGATTCTGCGGGGTCTCCTTCACTTTTCGGATCATTGAATTAGGTGTTTTGTGCGATTTGTAGCTTTGTAGGCTCTGTATGGAGCAGAGCTCCTACCCTATGCGTCCGATCAAGCCGGAAGTCAGACACGCCCCCTGAGTTAAGAAATGTTGCGGACTTAATTGATCAATCAGGGGTTAAATATTTTCAACATTTTTAAGAAATATATTCAAAATACCTTTGTACATACTTAAGGATTAAAAGTATAATTACTCAATTAAAGATACAATAGGTAAATCCAGTCTCACTTAATCAGTTTGAAAAAGTCCTCCTCCTACAAAATAAACAAACAAATCTATTATTTATATGTTACAGAAGTTTATAAGAAGCATCAAATTCCACTAAACTAAGCTATATGATAAATTGGGAGAAAGAGTTAAATTGTACCTATTCTATAGAAACATGGCTTAAGGCAGTTAGACAAATGGCTCAATTATCAAGGAGTTTAGGACACAGGCAAACAAACTGAAAAGTGATTATGAGATGGTATCTGAATCCACAGCGCTTAGCCTCAATATATAGAGTAGCTGAGGAGAAGTGTTGGAGATGTGAGAGTGCGCTAGCCACCATGCTACATATTTTTTGGGGTTGCCAACAATTAAAATATTTTAAGAAAGAGATACAGGGGCTTATTTTCAAAACAAATGATGTTAATGAATCCAGAAGTTTTCTTGTTAAATATGGTTGACCAACAGGTACGCAGTCCGAGAAAAGCCCTTGTTAAGCATGAAAAGTAAAAAATCCTCCAGAGTTGTATCAAGTCATTAGACGTCTTAAAACCACTAGGATATACGAAGAAATCTCTTACAGATTAAGCGATAAAACAGATACATTTTATTAAATTTGGCATACGTGGTTTAAAGACTTAAGTTTATAGATTAAAAGTGGCAGGACACTTGAATGTAATTATAGTTTTTTTGTTTGTGTTTTATTTTTTATGGCTATTCAGTTTCTACAGATCTACGTATACCTTAACAAAAGTAAAGTGGATAAAACATGTCTGTAGTAATAATTAGCAATGAGTTTTCTCCTTTCACCCTCTGATTTTTTTTTGGGGGTTTGGTTAATTTGATTTGTATATGTTATGTCTTATTGTGTTTTGAAATATTGAAATGCCTATCAAATTAACCCCTTAAGGACTGAGCCAAATGTACATGTTGTGATCAAAACAAAATGTAAGCACAATCTGGAATTTGCACTATATATCTGTTCAGGCCTAATTCACCTCTTTCATATTAAAGGAACACTACAGTCACCTAAATTACTTTAGCTAAATAAAGCAGTTTTAGTGTATAGATCATTCCCCTGCAATTTCACTGCTCAATTCACTGTCATTTAGGAGTTAAATCACTTTGTTTCTGTTTATGCAGCCCTAGCCACACCTCCCCTGGCTATGATTGACAGAGCCTGCATGAAAAAAAAAACTGGTTTCACTTTCAAACAGATGTAGTTTACCTTAAATAATTGTATCTCAATCTCTAAATTGAACTTTAATCACATACAGGAGGCTCTTGCAGGGTCTAGCAAGCTATTAACATAGCAGGGGATAAGAAAATCTTAATTAAACAGATCTTGCAATAAAGAAAGCCTAAATAGGGTTCTCTTTACAGGAAGTGTTAATGGAAGGCTGTGCAAGTCACATGCAGGGAGGTGTGACTAGGGTTCATAAACAAAGGGATTTAACTTCTAAATGGCAGAGGATTGAGCAGTGAGGCTAGAGGGGCATGTTTCATTAAGTTAAAGTTGTTCAGGTGACTATAGTGTCCCTTTAAGTGCATCCACACTTATTATATATCATTTTATTCAGGGGAAACAGGGCCTTCATTTAACATCAAAATTTTTTTAGGTATGAAACATAATTTAATATGAATAAAATAAAAAAAAAATGGGAGAAAATAAGAATTTTGAAAAAAATGTAGTTCTACGTGACATTTTAACTGTGAATGTCATAATACTGTTTGCTTTTACTGCAATAAAATAAACATATGTGTCTCATGTGTAAAACAGTACCCCCTATGTACAGGTTTTATGGTGTTTTGGGAAGTTACAGGGTAAAATATAGCATGTTACATTTTTCAGTTTTTTCACATTGAAATTCGCCAGATTGGTTACGTTACCTTTAGCACTAGTAGACAACCCAAGGTATTGCAAATGGGGTATGTCCAGTCTTTTTTATTAGCCACTTGGTCACAAACACTGGCAAAAGTTAGTGTTAATATTTGTTTGTGTGTGAAAAATGCAAAAAACTAATTTGAATGCCAATTTTGGCCAGTATTTGTGACTAAGTGGCTACTAAAAAAGACTGGACATAATCCATTTGCAATACCTTTGGTTGTCTACTATTGCAAATGGTATGCCATGATGGGGTAATTTTCATTCCTGGGCTAACATGCGGTCTCAAAGGCAACGTAACCAATCTGGTGAATTTCAATGTGAAAAAACTGAAACGCAAGCCTTATATTTGACTCTGAAACTTTTAAAAACACCATAAAACCTGTACATGAGCGGTACTGTTATACTCAGGAGACTTTGCTGAACACAAATATCAGTGTTTCAAAACAGTAAAACGAATCACAACAATTATATCGTCCGTGTAAGTGCCATTTGTGTGTGAAAAATGCAAAAAATTTCAAGCCCTCGCTATTTATATATATATATATATATATATATATATATATATATACTTAGATCATATATATAATAAATATATATATGATCTAAGTATATATTATTTCATTTTATGCTGTTTTAATCTTTACTTATTCATTTTACAGCCTGCAGGGAGACTACCTGTCATTCCAGGCAGTTCCCCTGCTGGCAATGCTGTGGACTATGCCATCCATGTGATCGTGAGGTCCTAGTAAGGACTTTGCGATCACATTGCCCGGGGGTGGGGGGAGGGGGGGACAGGAGGACTCCCTGGGTTGGCAGGTAAATCCCCCCACCGAGGTCACTGGTGTGGGATCGCCTGCGACCAGGTAAGTACATAGGATGGCTTAAGGGGTTAAGAAATACGAACACTGTCAAAGCTATAATCATTTCAATAAAGAAAAAAATAATAATAATGGATAACAAAGTAATATAAATCAGTTTACCACACTTATGTTTTATAGAGCAGGATGAAATAAAATGTTAATTGAATAAAATAAAAATATTAAATATATCAGAATAAATATATCGGTGGTTAAAGGAGCACTATAGTCAAAATATAAAAGCAAGAAAGACAGGTCACCTAGCCTTCTTCCTTGCTTTTATATTAGTTTCTCATAAATAAAATAATAAATTTGAGTCCTTTTTATCATATAAACTTACCTCCATTCCAGCACCGAGCTCCTCAGCAGGCCACTCCCCCTTTTTGTCAAAATGCCGAAATAGTAGGGCTCAATCAGACGCTTCTCTAAGAGAAGCTTCATAGCTGTCTGATGCGCATGCACGGCTTCACGCTGCACCAATCACGTTCTTCATAGAGCTGCATTGAATGCTGCTCGATGGATGAACTGTGCACTCTACCGCGCATGTTCTATCTATCCATCCATCCCTATACCCCCATCACCATCCATTCATTTTCCTCCATCACTCCATCCCTATCCATTCATCCTTATCCCTCCATATCTCTCATTCTCACTTCCACTCTCTCTCTCACTCTCACTCTCACACTCACTCTCACACTCACTCATTTTTTTAAATAAAATTACTTATGATTTGGGTCCTCATGCTGTGTCTCCTGACTTGTCAGCCCGAGCCGACTATGTGTGTGCAGGACATCTTATATCCCACACTGTCGGTTCTGACTGTTGACAGCCTCCGGGGTTACAACAGGAGACAGGAGGTGCATTCACAGTGCCTCCTGATAGCACATTTGATGTCTTCAGCTAAGCGTGAAGACGTCAAGCGTTAGTCCTGCACATCAGGCAGGACTTGGCTCGGAAGTCCCTCTGGTGGCCGTCTGAGTGACTGCCACTGGAGGTGTTCCTAGATTCTAAGGTAAACACTGTATTTTCTCTGAAAATACAGTATTTACATGAAAAGGCCTGCAGGGAGCTAATGTACTCACCTGAACAAACCTATTAAACTGAAGTTGTTCAGGTGACTATAGTGTCCCTTTAATTAAGTGAGAGGGTATTTAATCGATCCTGCCAAACAGGACTTTGAGAAAGCCCTCCCTGGGCGAAATGCGTAAGTCACGTGGTTCCGGGAGGAGAGAGAGTAAGATGGAGTCCCAGTGGATGGTGTGCCCAACTGCTACATCCACCGTACTGTGAGTTCACCGCAACGATTTTTAGCTTATGAAAGCGTTTTTTAAATTGGCACATAAAGTGTCTAAGTTCTATGCATTTCCTGAGATTTATGTAATTTATACTGTGCAGACAATAGTCCCCAACCCAGGTGAGGGTTTTCATGGAAGGAATGGACTCTGATTTCCCTGACTTGATTACACTGCACAATTGGAGGCTATTTCTGCTATTAAACCCTTCAGGATTCCCAAGTGTAGACCTGTTGGAGTATTACATTATATGTGAATTGCATCAGGGTAGTGGTCTGTGCCCCTTTTAAAAGTGAGAGCACCAGTAACTGATACTGGTGGAAGTTCATACCAAATATTACACCATTTGAAGTTTGTTTCCTTCAGAACCTGTATACTGTGTGTTTTAACCCTAGGAGTGCTGAAAGCCACTAAAGGATGCTTTTAACCAATTTGAGATTAATATTTTCATAGAGAGACAGCAAGCATTGAATTTGGATTGTGATAATTAAAGACTCTATTGTATTTGGTGGTATATATTAAACATATATTTTTTTTGTGTGCCAACTCATGATTTGTGATATTGTATGGTTTCTAATCTAGGAGAGAATAGAGGACAGCAGCACTAGTATATAGTAGCAA